TACTCGTGGGATCATAGGGACATAGAATTTATAACTGGAAGGTGCTTTGGGGATCATCTAGCCTCAAAGTGTGGTCCTCTGACCTAGCAGGGGGGCCCTGAGACCCTTGTAGGGGTTCCTCTATCTCAAAACTATTTTCACAATAATGCTGAGACATTATTTGCCTTTTTCACTCTCAATCTCTCATAAGTATATGATGGAGTTAGCTGCAAACATGAAGAGTGAGTTAATCTTTTCTGCAGAATTGTACTTTTACCTTACAAATGGACAAGTCTACAGATAATAACTGAACATACTGTTTTGTTCCTGCTTTTTTGTTTCATAGCTTTTCACTTGTGTCCTACTCTTCATGACCCCATTTGGGGTTTTCTTGGCAAAAATGCTGGAGTGATTTGCCATTTCTTTCTTTGGCTCATCTTACAGAAGAAGAAACTGAGGCAAACAAGATTAAGTGACTTGTCCAGGGTCATATGGTTAGTAAGAGTCTGAGGCCACATTCAAACTCACAAAGACAAATCTTCCTGACTCCAAGCGCAGCATTCTATTTACTGTGCCACATAACTGTCCCCTTTCGTTATTAGTACCAATTAATCACCAAAGATCTTTGTTCATTTATTCACTTTCTTTTACAGAAAGATAAAATTCAGATCATAAACATAAAGACATAAAACATAAGTGGTGATGAAATATTCAAAGTGTCAAATAACATTTTAAAATCTCACAGTTTATCCAAGAACAATTGGACCATCGATTTTACTATAACAGAATGCTAAAATAGGTCATTGGTATGATTTCAGATTCCACATTATAACTAACCTTTAAGAAAACTACCACTTAGCCAGTTTTGGTGTGGAATCAAAAAAGAATATCCACAATTCTCTGAAAAGATTATTGACATGCTCCTTCCTTTTCCAACTACATATCTGTGTGAGGTAGGATTTTCTTCATATACTTAAAGCAAAACAATACAACAGATTGCGTTCAGAAGCAGCTACGAGAATCCAGCTGTCTTCAATTAAGTCAGACATTAAAGAGACTTGCAAAAAATGTAAAAAGATGCCACTTTTCACTAGTTATTTTTTGTTTTGGAAAATATAGTTATTTTTCATTAAAACATTACTTGTTACATATAATGAGTTTGTTATTGATATTTTTAATGAATTAATATAAATTTTATCAGCTTTAAATTTAATATGGCAAATATCTATACATATAACCTTCATAAACAAAGCTCTTTGAGATCTTCAATACTTTCTAAGAATGTAAATTGGTCCTAAGACCAAAAAGTTTGGGGCAGCTAGGTGGTGCAGTGGATAGAGCACCGGCCCTGAAGTCAGGAGGACCTGAGTTCAAATCCAGCCTCAGACCAAACACTTGACACTTACTAGCCATGTGACCCTGGGCAAGTCACTTAACCCCAATTGCCCTAAAAAATAAAAAAAGACCGAAAAGCTTGAGAACTGTTGATCTAGTCCAATGTCCTTCTTTTATAGAGAATGAAACCAAAGCCCAGAGACATGAAATTACTTACCCAGGGCCACATAAAGATTCTCAGAAGGAGCTAGAACTCTATTTGGAAGCAGAGTCCAAGCTCTAGTACTGCTACTTGCTACCTGGGTAGCCTCTCAAAGCCTAGTTTTTTATGCATAAAATGAGACAGGTGAAGTGTATGACTTCTAAGGTAGGAAGAACCAGATCTAAATCTATGGTCATATGGCCAAGAGGAGAGGACAGTCGTCTGGATGTAGGGATTCCTGGCAAGAACATCCCTGAGGCCCTTTGGTTGAATGTCAATGTTCCCTGGATTGGAGGTGTAACAACTGACAGTGGATAGGAGAAAATCTCCCATTTGATCAGTAACAAAAGGCAAAATGTTAGACTGGGGCTACAGGCAGTGCTAGAGGAAAGAGTACAGAGGAAAGAGTGCTGAGTTAGGAGTCAGGAGACCAGGATTCTTGCACCAGCTCTGACCCTAATTTGCTGTGTGACTTCAGGTGACTCTTATTATCTCTCAGCCTTGGTTTGCTCATTATGAAAAAAGTAAGATATCTGCCTTGCCTCCTTCACAGGGTATTTTATTGTTATCATCATCAATAATACTGTTAATGATATTAATAACCATCAATAATATTAATAATCAAACTATTGTATCTATTGCTAAGTATTGGTGTTATGTTAATGATTAATAATATTGTTGTTAATGATGATAATAATGTCAAAACCATGTGAAGACAGAATCAAGTCCTTATCATCCCCATCATCCCGTCTGCCACTGAAATTGTTCTAAATATACTTTCAGGGAGCTTGTGCAGAAGATGAACTTCTATCCACTACTCTTATTCAGTTATAAAAAGCAGTCATTTTATTCACATATACAATAGGCCATAGGACATTCAACATAAAATAATAGTAGCATGATAATGACTTGTTTCATGACCATTTCTGTCTGAATCTGATCAAAAAAAGATTAGAATGAAGTGATGATGATGATGATGATGATGATGATGATGATGATGATGATGATGAT